GCAGAGCTGTCTCTAATCGTGATTGCCTGTAATGATGATTACCCAAACTCTGGAATTATAACAATAGATTTTACAAAGTTAGAGCATAATTGCTCCCCTATTCCATATGTGGGCACAGTTTAAACAACTTTGATCTTTCACATGATCTCAGACTTCAGTTATTCAGCTTCTGAAATAGCAAAGTTCAGAGACAGTGGCTCTCAACTCTTCCCTTTTTCAAAATCATAGAGTGAGGCCCAGAGTTGTGAAAGCCATTCACCTGTAAGAGAAATAAGGGCTGAAGTTGGGTAGAGAAGAAACAGTACAGACCCGTGGTGTGCAAATCCCACCTCTGCCACCCAAGCAGCCACACATGGTCTGAAGAAAGTCGCTTATGTCTTAGACTCGGTCCTCATTTGCAAGTCACTGTGAGTGTGAAGTCATCAGATCTGTTATCAGTTCTGTGGCCTCAAAGTAAATGATCAGAGTAGATACAAAGAGGCCTTCTGAATCTTTGCATTTTGCAGCCTTCCTTTGACATACAAGTTTTTTTTTTGGAGATGGTGATGAGAAATGTGGTGTTTTCACTAAACTAGGGATAGAGCTTTGCAAAGAAAAGAGTATGAAAGCGGAAAGAAAAGAGTATGAAAGCGGAAAGAAAAGACAGGCCCCCAAAATGGAACAGGCCCCCAAGATGGAACAGGCCCCCAAAAGATGGAACATTTTGGCTTTGGCACCACATGGTTCCGAGCAATTGTAGATGAATACCTTCACTGAATTTGCTCCAGTGGCTCTCAGCATTTAGCGTACGTTCGAGCCAGGTCCCCAACTTCCTTCTCTCTCCCCCCAGGGTCTGGATGTAAAAGGACAGGAATGGCCTGGGATCCAACATTTTGAGGAATATCTCTGGTGATTTGGAGATAGATGGTTCAAGGCCTGTCTGTCTTGCCCTCTACCCTGTCACCGAGGGACTGCTTAATGCACGTGTCTGTGAGTTAATTTGTGGTTTAAATACAAGAACAGAACCTCTGCTTCTGGCCTGCCCAGCTCAGATGGCCACAACCAGCAGAGCAGGCCTGACCTGCTGGGGAGGGAAAGAAGTGACAGCCGCCGGGCCCTTGACCATCGCAGTGTCCAGCCTTGAGTGTCCCCCTGTAATGTCACCTACGTTACTGCATCTACTGTCTGTTGGTCGCCCCCAGACTGACGTTATCCTAGTGAGCTAAGGCTGGCGTCTGCCCCACACTGGCTCCTTCAGGAGCCGTTGGAATGATCAATGAGGCTGAGCGGCCGGGCCCTTCCCTGGCCGCTGGTGAATCAGCTGTCGGCTGCCTCGGTTCGTTCCCTTCTCTACAGAGCAGGAAGCACTTGAGCCGGGGCTGACTCGCGTCTGGCTAATGGCCCTTCTGTGTCATGCATTGTCCTTGATGCCATACATCTTTCATACGTGAGCAGGCTGGAGTTCCTAAAGACGCTATAGCGGTAGGCCTTTCCCTTCTGCCAACACCCCCCCCCCACCCAGCTGAAAGCCCTTGATAGGATTTTGGTTTTAGGGGTTTCTGCTTCAGAAGCAGAGCCAGCACTTAAAAAAAAAAAAAAAAAAAAAAAAAAAAACTGAGGTGAAACAGCACATAAAATTCATCATGTTAAGGTCAGGTCAGTGGCACCCAGTACATCCACAGTGTTGTGCAACCACCACCTCTATCCAGAAGCAAAGCGCTTTCATCACCTCAAAAGGGAACCCTGTGCCCATTGTATTTGTTTGCTAGGATCGCCCATAACAAAGCACCACAGGCTGGGTGATTGAACAACCAGAACTTTATTTTATTTTTTAAATCAGGATTCCTATTTTATTTTTACCTATTTTTTCAAAAAGATTTTATTTATTTATTTATTTATTTATTTATTTATTTATTTATTTATTTATTTATGAGAGGCACAGAGAGAGAGGCAGAGACATAGGCAGAGGGAGAAGCAGGCTCCCCGTAAGGAGCCCAGTGTGGACTCGATCCCGGATCCCGGGGTCATGCCCTGATCCGAAGGCAGATGCCCAACGCTGAGCCACCCAGGTGCCTCAGGATTATTTTAAAAATATATTTTTTTTATTTACTTATTTGAGAGAGAGAGAGAACAAGCAGGGGTAGTAGTGGTAGAAGCAGGCAATCTGCTGAGCAAGGAGCCGAATGTGGGGCTCCATCCCAGGACCCCGGGATCATGACCTGAGGTGAAGGCAGATACTTAACCAACTGAGCCACCCAGGCACCCCAAACAACCAGAATTTTATAGCCTCATAGTTGTGGATGCTGGGAGTCCAGGATCAGGGCGTCAGCAGGCTGAGTTGGTTCTACCTGAAGGCTGGAAGGGAAGGAGCTATTCCAGTGAGTCCTTGGCGTATAGATGGCTGTCTTCTCTTTGCGCCTCTTCATGTTGTCTTCCTTCCAGGTGTGTCTGTGTGTCCACCTTGCCCCTGTGTGTAAGGACACTGGTCCTATTGGATTAGTGTGCACCCTAAGGACTTCATTTTAACTTGATGACCTTTGTAAAGACTGTCTCCAGACAAGGTCACATTCTGAATTACTGGGCTTTCAATGTAGGACTTTGGGGAAACAGAAGTCAACCCATAACACCCTTAAGCAGTATCAATAGTAGTACTTCATTCCTTTTTTGTGACTAAATGATATTCCATCCTAGTCAAACATTTATTTTTTGAACAACAAGGACAAAGCAATTGCCAGTGAAGTCTCCACCCTGTGGGTAGCTGAGCATCCTTCCTGTTAGAGGCGTGTGTGCCCATTTGCATAAGGTGGAGTGTGAGCTCAGGGTGTATCTCAAGAATCCCCAATCTGTAAACTTTTTCTTACTGTTTTCTTTCTTTTTTCTTTCTTTCTTTCTTTCTTTCTTTCTTTCTTTCTTTCTTTCTTTCTTTCTTTCTTTCTTTCTTTCTTTCTTTCCTTTCTTTCTTCTTTCTTTCTTTCTTTCTTTCTTTCTTCTTTCTTTTTAGATTTTATGTATTTATTTTGAGAGAGAGAGAGAGAGTGGGGGAACAGGTAGAGAGAGAGAGAGAGAGAGAGAGAGAGAGAGAGAATCTCAAGCAGGCTCCACGCTCAGCACAGAGCCCGACATGGGGTTTGATCTCAGACCCCGCAATCATGACCTGAGCCGAAACCAAGAGTCAGATGCTTAACCAACTGAGCAGCCCAGGTGCCCCGCTGTCTTCCTTCTTGAAAGAGTTCTAGTTAGTCTTTACAAGCAAAAGTAGGAGCCAGACTTACTAGGGGGAAGCAGGTCAAGCTGCTGATTGAAAATACATTCAAAGATAGATTTTATCTTTGATTTCTCTCTCTCCCTTTCCTCCTCTTATCCTCAGCACTCCTTCTTCCCCAAAATGTGCATAGTGTGTGCATGCATGTGTGTAAGTGCATGCGCACACGCGCACACACACACACACGCTCATGTTAGAAACATTCTAAGTAAAAAAAAAAAAAAAAGAAACATTCTAAGTGCGGATCATTCTGGGGAGGGCTGTGGCACAGGTAGTACTGCCCTTTGAGAAAACCAGCCTGCTGCTGTCCTTTATGTCGGTTATGTCATGCTCACTGGGTCTGGCCCTTCAGGCTGCCCTCAGACTAGAGGTTTTCTGATTTTCTTCAAGTCCCCTCTCTGCACCTGCCTCACAATGAAAGAGGGACATTTGGAGGTGTGTGTCCTCTTGGTCTTAGAACTGATGACACTGTTCATTTGTCCATTTCACCTGCCCCCTCAATTTAAAATCTATTTCTCTCTCTCTCTCTCTCTTAAAATAAAATAAAATAAAATAAAATAAAATAAAATAAAATAAAATAAAATAAAATAAAATCTATTTATCTCTCTTGTGGACAGACAGGAGATCTACATCCCTGCTGGCCTGGGCTCTTTGGGGAACAACCCAGAAAAACCCATCATTATTTTGTTGCAGACTCAGGCTTCTTTTCCCCATTGCAGGGGCCTGGATGATGGGACACAATGTGTGTGTTCCTTCCCACCAAATCAGCAGGAGGGGCAACAGAAGGGTGGCATCATCCTGCCTCCTGGCCCTGAGCAGATATCCCTCTTGCAAAAATCATTTTACTCCCTCCTTCCTCTCTCTCTGTCTCCCTATTTTCTCCACCAAATGAGTTTTGCCCACTTTGAAAGTTCACTGGGGGAAGACATGCCTATTGGCCCTGAGGTTTTCAGAGAGGCAGGAAGGAAAGTAGAATAACACAAAAATGCAGCCAGGGCAGAGAATGTTCACATTGCATGTTGCTCCATATTGTCATCTTCCTGTAAGTACCTCTGGCTTCTGGGACCTCAGGCTGGGAGGCTCTACACTGTGGGTGGAATCGCACAGGACGGATGTTAAGGATGCAGTAGACTTTCCTCATTGTGGATCAGCGTATGGAGTACAGGTTCCACTCATGGGCGGGGAGACCGGGTCATCTGGAGTTTGTTAAAGCTTCCAGGTTTTACTGATGTCCAGCCACCCTTGAGAACTGCTGTTCCAGGGGATAGAGAGTTGAATGGTTTGACATAGGTGACGGAAAAGATAGGTGACATCTAATCCTCTTGTTCCCAGCAGTGCAGTTAATTAGGCAGAAAAGGGATAGAAATAACACATCCTGGCCTGTTTGTTGGCAAACAAAATAGGACGTTAGCACCATTTAACCCTGTAGGGCCAGGTGGAATGGGTGACTCCAGGGCTCCTGCCTTCTTGCCGCTGCCCGTGGGTTGGGGGGCTGCTAGACCTGAGTCTGCCAGCCACCCCGGCAAGCATCACCCTGGCGATGCAAACTGTTCACGGGAACACACCGTATTCTACACTCGACTCACAACTGGTTCTTCTCTTCGCTCCGAAGGAAAAATAACACCAGGCCCATGTGTCTGCCTTCTTTTCTGGCAGAAAGTGTTGACTGTAGTTGATTGCTGCGCCTGCTGAAGGGGGGGGGGGGTGTTGTCAACGTCAAGCAGTGAGGCTGACCTCTCTGTCACTGTGTGTTTTGTAGTACAAAATCGGGCAGCTGTACATGATCAGCAAGCACAGCCATGAACAGAGCGACCGAGGAGAAGGGGTGGAGGTCGTCCAGAATGAACCCTTTGAGGATCCTCACCACGGCAATGGGCAGTTCACCGAGAAGCGAGTGTATCTCAACAGGTAAGTCATGGTAGCTGGACATCCACCTTTGGGCTCTCCCACCACACAGGGGCCTTCCAGCCCTACCCTTATGGCTGACAGGGGTGCTGTGTCTGGGTTAAAAAGGTGACTTGGAAAGTTATTACATCAGCCCTTTCCATCCACCGGTCTAGTTGCTTCCAAAACCAGAATCCCCTGCCTTCTGCAAAATGGTCCTCAATTGCATTTTCATTAAGAGGACCTTTCCTCTTACCTTCCCATCCCTTGGATGACATGTTAAGATGAAATCTGGTCTTCAGGACTACAGAACTTTGTCTTCTCCCCTTGGGTCAGTGTTAGCAGTGGGAAAGAGATGGCTTTGCCTATAAGTTGTAGAAGGGTGCCAAGGATGGCGGTGTGCCATCGGGATCTTTACTTGGTCCACCTTCCACGTACTGCCAAGCGATTGCTCAGGTGTTTGCAAAGGACACAATAAATGGTCACCTTGATCAAAGTGATGTGCAATGCTGAGGGGGTTTCCATTTCTCAAGTGGACCCATCCTTCCCAAGGTAGAGGTTGCCATTGCTCCTTTGGAAGCGTAAAGAATCGAGGATTATAAACCAACACTCATTAGCTTTGCAGAGTGTATTCTTTACTCTCTTGCTGTTTTCTTACCATTAATGGCACAGTTGACTACTGGGGCTTGTCTGACCTTCCCGCACTCTACCCCTTTCCAGCCTATTTTCTTTCATTCTTCTCATCCGGGTCAGGACATTTGTATAGTCACATGAAATACATTTTATTGAAATTATCTGTCTGCTCTAGTGAACCAGTGTATGACTGGTTCAGTCTTTGCTCTCATTTTTATGAATACTCTTTACCCTCACCTATGGCTTCTCCTATTGGCCCATATGTGATTATTCAGAACGCATTTTGAACATAATAATTGGACAGTGCCTTAGTTTATTCACTGACACTGACACTCATGAATATTTACTCATTCTCTGTGTCTTGACCATGAGACATTTCTGAAAGGAGCTATATTAGGATTCCGCCATATTCTCATGGCCTCCACCTTCCAGCAGGCTGAAGTGGACTGTTCCCTCTTGATGGGGGAGCATTTGGATCCTGTCACTAGGATGTCTGGAAATCTCTAGGGCATTATCCTGACAGTGAAGGTCCTTGGGCTATTGAACTGGCTTGTTTTAATCTACCCAGGGATGCAGTATCGGGGAATTCCTGAGTCACGATGAAATGCAAATGAGATTGATCTTGTTCATCTATTAGGAGCTGTGAATTCCCAGGATTTGGAGCCAGTTCAGCCTCCAGCCAGCTGCTGATTTGCAAGAGTTGCTGAGCTCTGGGACTGGCCTGAGGATGACTTCCTTACATAGACTAGATTCTCAATATGCTGCTTTGGCATTCTTAGTGTGGAGGGTGAAAATCAAATATTGAGCGGGAGTCACCTCGGTCGAGCAAACAGAAGTGAGGGCCATGTAAGAAAATAGATAGAGACCTATGGGAAATTCCATTTTTTGGCAGATGATTTCCTTTTCCCAAATTATTGCTTAGGGAATGTTCTCTATGTACCAAATTCAAAAAAATTTTGAGAAAACTTTATATCTTTTCCTGAAGCAGAGCAAGAAGTGTCCAGCTGTCTCTGTCATGTCTGTTTTCTCTATCAAAATATATGATGTTTATTTTAAAGGAGAATAATAAACATTAGTAAGAGGGAAATTTGTTATAAATAGAATATCTGGACTTCCAGTAATAGAAACTAAAAAGATTAATGTGGACCCTCCCCCCACCTCCTATGACAAACACAGGATGAAATATAACAATATAAAGCTGAGCTCAAAACAAAGAAAGGGAAATCCTCAGGTACGAGAAATAAAGAGGAAATGCAAGCCAGAGTGGAAAGCAGATGAGCTAATGCTCAGGAAGCTGGGATATGTCAGAACTGACACGTAGGGGGATATCATGCCCGTAAAGGGACAGGAAATGAGGCTTTGGGTTCCTACAAATGGGGAGTTGGAGCTGAGAGTCATGCACAAAAAACATTCTTGATAATTGAGTACTGAGAGAGAGTACTGCTCAGAGGCACGTGTTGACAGAACTACTTAAGATTGTACTGAAGTAAAAGGAAACGGAACCCAAGAAAGAGGAGAGGAGAATCTAGAGGTAGTAAGAAACAAAGAAAGTGAAGGGTGCGTGGAGGGCTCAGTAGGTTAAGCATCTGCCTTTGGCTCAGGTTGTGATTGAGCCCTAAGTCGGGCTCCCTGCTCAGCGGAGGGTCTGCTTCTCCCTCTCCCTTGGACCCCCCTCCCCCCACTCATGCTCACTCGCTCTCTGTCTCTCTCAAATAATTAAATAAAATCTTTTTTTAAAAAAGAAATTGATAAACATATAGGGAAATCTGCATGAGCATAGGATGCTTTTTTTTAATTTTTTTTTTTATTTACTTATGATAGTCACAGAGAGAGAGAGAGAGAGAGAGGCAGAGACACAGGCAGAGGGAGAAGCAGGCTCCATGCACCGGGAGCCCGATGTGGGATTCGATCCCGGGTCTCCAGGATCACGCCCCGGGCCAAAGACAGGCGCCAAACTGCTGCGCCACCCAGGGATCCCTAGGATGTTTTAAAAATACTAATAATGAATAATTGGGAGTATATTTGTGGAATTTATTTTTATTTATTTATTTAAACATTTTATTTATTTATTTGACACAGAGAACACGAGTACAGGGAGGGGCAGAGGGAGAGGGAGAAGCAGACTCTTTGGTGAGCAGGGAGCCTGATGCGGGGCTGGATTCCAGAACCCTGAGATCCTGACCTGAGCCAATGGCAGATGCCTAGCCAAATGAGCCACCCAGGCGCCCCTATGTGTGGAATTTAAATAATGGACAAGAATAGCAGAAGAGGAGAGGGTAGTAATTACAGTAAAAGCATTTTAAATTGCTAATATTGTGTAAGAGGAGGAGAGAAATGTTGATTAATTAAACCTTTAAGACACGTGTGCATATGCAAAGTGTAAAGATAACCTCTAAAAAAACAGTAAAGCAGTACATAACTTCCAAGAGAAAATGTGATCAATCCAATAGAAAGTGGAAGAACAGAGAAAAGCTTATAAAAAGCATGGTCAACAGAAAACAGAGATTTGATGGTAAGATAAATCAAAATATGGTGGTCACAATAAAGGTATATAAGTTAAATGCTAAACCTGAACCTAGCTCAACAAATATAGGGCAACACTGACAAAATCATAGGTAGCCTAAAGTTATAATGGGAGATTTTAACATAGCTGTTTAGTAAATGGTTAGAGCAAATCATCAAATTAATCTAGCAAACACAGAGCAGATGTAAACAGCAGAATTAGAACTTTGGTCTAGTGGACATTAATAGACCCTAGAACTAACATGATTTTCATACACACATGAAAATATGCAAAAACTGACTACACACTAGGCTAGGAATCAATCTCAATACCAGAAAATCAATATCCTGTAGATGCTGTTTGCTGGTTACAAAGCATTACAATAAGAAACAGACAACAGCAAATCAACTTCCTCATTATATAGAAATGTAACAATCTCTAAATATGTTATTGGGTAAAAATGCCCACACTCACTTTCCCAGCCACCTTTGCAGCAATGGATGGCCATGTGACCTAGTTCTGGCCAATTGAGATGTAAGATTTTCCTCCCTGATGAAAACAGGAGGGGATCCGGGCTGGCTGGGTGGGTAGAGCATAGGACTCTTGATTTGAGGTTATGAGTTTGATCCCCACATTGGGTGTAGAGATTACTTAAAAATAAAATCTTTAAAAAGAGAAAGAGAGATGTCTAAGAGCTATAATGTGATTCTAAGAAAGGGAGGAGATAAATGGAGACTCCTGGGAAGGTAACTGGCAGGGTCTACCACATGGACCTTGGCAGTAAAACTGACAATAATAATGCAAAAAGGAAACTTCTAGACCAAGTTCAGTGAAGAATATAGATGTGAAAAGCCTATAGAAGACATTTGCAGATCAAATACCCCTGAGTATAATAATAATAATAATAATAAATCATGACTCAACAAGACTGTTAACATCAATATGAGGATTCAACAAGATTGCTGGGAGGAAAAAATCCATGTACAAAATCATCATTATTATTATACAGCAGGAACAATAAATGGAAAATATAATTTTAAAAAATTCCATTATAGTAAAAAAGGATAGGCAAAGAAATTCAAAATTACTCCGTAATAAATCTACAATATATAAAACATCGTTTTGGAGAAAAATATAAAACATTAGTGTAGGACATTTTTATCTTTTTTAAGTAGGCCCCACACCCAACATGGGGCTCGAATTTACAACTTTGTGACCAAGAATTACATGCTCCAACGACTGAGCCAGCCAGGTGTCCTGGTGGGGGACATTTTCTTAAACCTTGGACAGAAGTGGGGCACCTGGGCAGCCCGGGTGGCTCAGTGGTTTAGCGCCGCCTTCAGCCCAGGGTGTGATCCTGGAGACCCGGGATTGAGTCCCACATTGCGCTCCCTGCATGGAGCCTGCTTCTCCCTCTGCCTGTGTCTCTGACTTTCTCTCTCTCTCTCTGATTCTCATGAATAAATAAAATCTTAAAAAAAAATCTTTAAAAAGAAGTGGGGCACCGGTGGCTCACTGAAAAGAGCACATGACTCTGTCTTAGGGTGGTGAGTTCAAGCTCCACATAAAGCTTACCAGAAAAATAAAAACTAAAGCAAAAAACCCTGGACAAGTGGCAAGGTTCATGGATAGAAAATGCTAATATAAAGATGCCATCAATTCCCAAATCAATTATAAATTTCATGCAAATCTAATTAAAATGCCAACCAGGTTTTTTTTTTATTTTTTTTTAATTTATTTATTTATGATAGTCACAGAGAGAGAGAGAGAGAGAGAGAGAGAGAGAGGCAGAGACACAGGCAGAGGGAGAAACAGGCTCCATGCACTGGGAGCCCGATGTGGGATTCGATCCCGGGTCTCCAGGATCGCGCCCTGGGCCAAAGGCAGG